GGGGCGGGGGGGGGGGGGGGGAGAGGGGTCATTTAATCAAGGTTCACCAACGTCTTTCAGCACAGATATCCATAAAATTTAAAATAAAAAAAACAAGACATTGCTATTTATGGATGCTGGAAAAACTCAAGACATTGCTATAATTTTATAGATGCTGGTCATGTTGTAACCTTAAAAGCTTAGGTTCCTAAATGATGGATTTGCTTCCCTGATCCTTTACGCTGCTCTCCTTGGCATAATCAATGTCGTGTGGCCTTACCTTCTTGGTTCTCACACTATTGTCATATGTTTGAGTGGGCTGTTATTCAAGTGTGTTGTTTATTTTCTACCACTACATCATTTTTTGTTTACTTTTAAGAAGTGTCTTTATCATCTTGTTTGAGGCCGGATGTGCTGCCAGTTTCATTTAATCCATTTGGCTTGGCTCTTCCTGGGCATTTCGTTACTTGTCTGCAGTGGCGCAGAAAGTGTGTGGGGCGTGGGTTCCTACGAATTCTCGTCTTTTGTGGTCCACGTCATTTTTGGCCAACTGCTGAGCTATTTCGTGCAAAGGGAGGAGGTGGCTATTACACTAGTTACGCCACCGCTTGTCGGACACTATCCTATAATATTGGTTCAGTCCAGGTCTTTAAAGCTTTAAATTATCGATATTTGAATTCAGATGAAACGTGTGGAATTGGATAGTAGGCACGACTGAACTGTTGTTAAATGTACTGGGGCATTGATATGTCATTGATATGTCATTGATATGTCACTGCCCTTTTCTCGCTTCCGATTTTTAAAAAGCGTTTGGCTAAAGCAGACAATGCGGGCCATGACATCATTTAGGTGTTTATTTAACTTAAATGGTTTAGGATTTTAGGTTAGGTTTAGTGATATGTTTAGGGTTCAGGTTGGGTTTAGGGTAGGGTGACCAAACGTCCCGTTAAAACGGGATTGTCCCGTTTTTTCAAGATTTTGCCTGCTGTCCCGAAAAATTATATTGGGATGCCTAAATCTCCCGTTTCTAAAACTAAAACCATATACATTTTTACATATTAGAATAGAAGGAGGTTTTAACAATGGCTGTGAAAACAGCCAAATATGCTCAATTTAAATCCTAGACTAGAGACATTTAGTTTGATCTGTGGTATTATGTTGTTAAATATGTATAAATAAATAAGTATTCACTGGAAAATTATTGTTTTCGTTTATGATATGCCCAATCGTTTAATTAAAATAAATTTAAAAAGTGAAGATAAATTTTAAAAAGATTTCTAGGTCTCAAAATAGTTAAAATGAGCATATTTCAATAAACTGTTTCCAGCGGTGGCCCCTCAGACCCCTCTTTAGCTGGAAGATGTCCCCGACACCCCTTCTTGGGTGTCCCGTTTTTTCCAGTTCATGACCCTAGTTAGGGTGACCTTTCACGGGTATTGGCAACCAAGATGGCGCCGTGGCGCGGAATATCTGTATTTCCCAAATGTTGTTGTTGTTTTTTTTTCACCTTAATACCCCAATGTTGAGAGACGTTAAAGAAAAAGACCTTATTACAAAGCTATGTAAACAAAAAATTCAAAGTGCCTCAGTGCAGTATCAACAATCTTTCTTTCCACGAACAATAATAGCATGGAACAACATGAACGATGCAACTGTGAACTCGACATCAGTCGAAAGCTTCAAGGCTGCCCTATCATCAGCTAGGAGCTATTAGAATAGCAACATCATACCCCCAACCGTTGCAAAAATGCCAGTACGTGGATGCAGCAACGAAACATTACCAGAACAAGAACTTCGTGAACTTCATCAAAAGACCACCATACTGCATGGTAACAGTGCTCAAAATATGAAGTTTTCAATATGTTGGTAAAACGAAATATTTTTAAACAAAATAATGGATGGACTTTGTCTAAAATGTATTGGAATTTATTTGTAATATATTTTTTATTCTTAAATTTAATTTGGTCGCAGAGAATTTTGATGAGTGTCTTAATTTAAAAAAAAAAATTTATTGTGTTAAACATCACAATTATGTAAATTCTGATGAACTGTAAATCTATACATGTTAAGTTAACATCTAAATTTTGTAAAACTTTATGCCCGAATCTAAAATCATGTCCTGTTGTATAACGAACTCCAAGAGGAATAGAACTCATAACCAAGCATGAAGTTTTTTGAAGTGCAAAATTTATTTAAAAATTTGTTTAGAATATGAAAAATGCAACAAAAAGTTATTTTATATACATATTTATAAGCGACACATCAGTTGTACAGATATGTAGCCTACACTAGAAGTATGGATAGGAGCATTAGAAGTATGGATAAGAACACACTATTAATATGGATATGTTCAGTAGTAGTAGTAGTGTTGGTATTACCGTATACGGAATAAATAATAATTACAATTCTGTGTCATTTTATTATCTGTTGTCTTTTATGCTGTGAAGGCTTCCAGTCCAAACATCTGCTGTTTTG